GAAATAAGATTTAGATTGTCATAATAATAGAAGATAATTCTTTTATATATAAAGTACAATTGAGAATTTCCTATATTCTGATGTACTAGCATCATGACATATTTTGCAATCTTGCTAACTTCGTAGAGTGAATTGATGCAATTTACGACATCTAGGATGGAGTGCAAATTTATTATGATGAGAACGTCCTCTTCAAAGCGATACTCATTTTTCCCATAGATATTAGTAATCGAAACTTGACTCTTTTGAGGCATACAAGATTTGATAAGTTTTGATTTTGAATCAATAAAAAATAGCTCTTAACAGTGTACAAAGTATCGAAGGTGAAAAGGCCAGGAGATGTACAACTATGAAACGCCACTTAGTTGTATTATAACACTTTACGCAATTATTGCAAGCCTGTAAGAATGAGATAAATCATGTTATTTGAATTTACAAAGAACCTTCGGAATTATTTTGGAAGCATTAGGAATCAATATAAATTTTTCCATCAACTTAAAAGTTTTTCAAGTGCAAATAGTTTAAAAAGTTCAAAAAATCATGTAAATGTTTTGTAATTGGCAATTCTGTAAACAAAATGATTGAATTGTACTATATTTAAAAAGTCAAGGATTAATGTACAAATATCTGAAAGTAGGGTTATTAGGTCTAGGGTTCGAGAATGGCAAATGGAGGAAAACAGCGCGGATTTTCGCTAGACTTTTGCCATGGATTGCCTCGAGCGTCAAAAACAGAACCTCCATCGCTTGATTGTCACCCTGCCTTGGCTCTAGCGATAGCCTGTCCCTCGACTGTCACGGAGCTCTCGCTCGAGCGATAGTGTTGTTCGGAAAATTTTTATTTCACGATTTAAAGGCTTTTTTCTTGGCCCATTACTTTTCTAACCTACCTATAAATACCAAAACACATTTGAACGTGAATTTTAAGGTTGATTATTGAGAGGACTTCATCTGAGAGAATACAATCATATTCTTACTTTCAACCTTCATCTTGTGAGATTGTTTTTGGTGAGGAAAACATCGATTCCTTAATCCAAATACCAAACCGTTCTTTCCATCACAATGGTCAAAATTGCTGAAATTCGAGGGAAGTTGACTGGAAGTTCCAGTCGTTGAAAAACGCGGTGTTCTTCATGGATATATAGGAGATAAACGATTTCACAGAGTTAGGAGTTGCTGTAGGAGAGCACAATCTAGGAGAGTTTTGGAAATT